CAGGAACTCCAGCACCAGCACCTCCAGCACCAGAACCTCCATCTCCAGCACCAGGACTGCCAGCTCCAGTACCTCCAGCACCAGTAACGCCAGCACCAGCACCTCCAGCACCAGCACCTCCACCACCGTCAGACTTGGACACAGGAAGTGGGAGCGACGACCGCCGCTGCTCCCAGTACAAGGGGCGCCGCTGCAGAGGTGGCAACGCACCAGGAGAAACTCCAGCAGAATAACCCACGACTCCACCACAACTAGGACGCTCAGCACCCCCAAGACCAGCACCTCCAGAGTCAGCACCTCCAGAGTCAGCACCTCCAGAACAAACACCTCCAGAGTTAGCACCCCCAAAACCAGCACCCCCAGAGTCCGCACCTCCAGTGCCACCACCCCCAGCAGCACCGGAGTCCACATCGACAGGCTGCGGAGGTGGTGAAGACGGCCGAGGTGGAAACCAGGAGGGGTCTCCAAGCGCGGTGAGCGGCGAGTGGCCGCTGTGTCGTCAGCAGCAAGGTCACCCCCCTCAGCTAGGCCAGAAATGTCGGAGGAGACCTCCAAAGGCTCAACCAGAGACACACCTGAGGGAGCGGGACCCTGTGGGGGGGAGGGGTCTTCCGGAGGGGGACCTGGAACCAGGAAGAGAGGCGGGGGGGGGGGACAAGGGAAGTGTTGTGGGGGAAGAGACGGTAGAAGCAAACCGACTCGTCAAAGGTGACGTCCTGGGAGGACAGGACGCGACGCGTGGCTGGGTGGTAAAACTGCCAGTCACGCGCGTCGATGAGAAAGCCAAGGAAGACGCAGCGAACGGTGCGAGAAGAGAGCTTGCCCGCGGTGGTATCGCGGACAAGGGCAAGCGAACCCCAGACCCAAAACGCCGACGCATCACCAACCTCCCCCGTCCAACGCAGTGTAGGCGAGGTCTCTGGCACGGAGACACTGGGCCAGAGGTTGAGCTGATGCGCGGCGTATCGGACCGCAAACGGCCACAGAAAATGGGGAGCAGCCGCATGGACCATGGAGGTGCGAGCAACCTCCATGATCAAGCCAATGCGGCGCTCAGCAATCCCATTCGGCTGTGGAGAGGCCGGAAGCGTGAACGACTGGGTGATGCCCTCCTCACGACAAAAGTCCTCAAGGAGGCGGGAGGAAACCTCACCACCTCGGTCAGATTGCAGTCGCAGGACCTGGAGGTCCTGCTGGAACCGTGCGCTCAGCTGGCGACGGACAGCGCGGATCTAAGGGATCAAGACACTGCGGACAACCGCCTTGCTCTGCAAGGGGAAGACCGTGGTGTAGCGCGTGTAGTCGTCAACAACTAGTAAAAAGTAGTGCTCGCGGCCCTGTCTACTGACGCGGGCGGGGCCCCACACGTCCATGTGGAAAGTCTGCAGAGGAGCAGTGGTCGGAGGAAACAAGGAGTGAGGTGCGGCGCGCTGCCGCCCCTCGACGCAGGGAAGGCACGGTGGTGCAAGCGACATCGGGATCGGGGGCATGGACCTGGGGAGGCCAGAGACAAGGAGACGGGAGTGCATGCTACGCAGACGCGGCAGGAAGGGGTGACCCAGACGGTGGTGCCAGAGGAGAGACGGGTGCGTGAGTAACCGACACGAGCAAGACGCAGCTACCTGGCTGGACGCAGCTACCTGTGCAGACTAAGTGGTCAGTGTGTACAGGCCAAACCCGGGTCTCCGAGTGAACATGGCGAGGTGGGCGACAGTCCGTGAGTCCGTACAGATCGCCACAAGCTCACCCTCAGGAGTAGTGGTAGTGACCAACTCGTCATGGAGGACAGCGTCACTCACCAAGTTCGTAGCGAACGAGGGGAGGTGGAGACATGTGAGGGAGCCGGAGGGGGCTGCTGGACACGGGAGAACGGTGGAGCCACGTGCAACGACTGGGCCGCCAGATGGGTTAGCCAGAGCGACCGGGACAGGTGCAGTGAGCGGTGTGACCGTGGTGCAGTCGCGGAAGAAGCAGCGAGACGCGCCTGAGTCAAGTGTGAAGGTGTGCAAAGCCTCCGCAGGAGCTGCACCTGTGCTCGCAGGCTCACAGGCACCTAGACTAGCAGCCTCTACACGAGCAGCTCTAGGCACACACGAGTAACAGTCACCCTCAACACTAACAGAAGTAGCATACATATCATACATGCCAGTAGAGTTCTTGTCCCAATTAAGAGCAAACACATCTACCCCCTTCTGGAGCAATCCTAACCAGCTAAGGATCTCAGTCTCGTCACCGTACTCAGCACGGAAGGCATCCTCAAGACGGAAGAAGCAGCGATACTTAGTGTGCCCCATCTTGCCACAGGGCTCACCAGCCCGTGGACCCGTGTGCCGGACGTACGGGCAACGACCACTACCCCCAGAGAAGCCACGCTGGACAACCCACTCACGAAGCTGCTGGGACGAGAGAGGCTCCTGTCGGCGTGGATGCTGCTGCTGTCCACCCCTAGAGCCTCCGCCGCCACGAGCTGCACCCCCAGACACCGCCCCAGAGCCACCACCCCAGAGCCTCCACCCCTACCAGCTCCATCTCGACCGCCACCCGAGCCCCCTCTGCCCACTTCACTGCCTCCACCACCCCCGCCACCTCCAGCGCTGCCACCATCTCCTCCACCCCCTCCACTACCACCGCCACCACCCCTGCCAGCGCCACCCCCACCACCCTTCCCCCCTTTGCCCTTGCCACTGCGGCGCCTCCCACTAGGAGCAGACGCAGCACCGACCTCCTCAGCACGAAGGAAGTCAACAGCAGGAGCAAATGGCAACAGAGGGCGTGAGAAGGGAGGGGGAACACCCCTAAAAAAAGGACGGGAGGGGGGTGCCACGGGAGGTGGCAACAGCGTGGGCACTGGTCTTAGCCTCTAAGAGACGAGTCTCATACGAGGCAAGCGTAAGCTCAGTGGGGTTGAGGGAGTGGAAGTGGTCCCTAACGACGCGGAGAAAGTCAGGGAGGCGGGTCACGAGGAAGTAAAGAGTGATTTACATCGGGGGCTGGTTTGCAGCAAAAAATGCCGGCTTGAGAGCAGCGCGGTAGCGAGTGTCACTAGAGCGTAGGTGGGTCATAAGATCAGCGACGGTGGGGAAGTCAGCCAGCTCAGGAAAGAGGTACGGCAGCATGAGACGGCCTAGGGCAGCAGTAGAGGGGGGGAGTAGCACTTGACTACAGCGTCATAGAGCGCTTTGGCCGTCGTCAGCTGGCCAAAATGGGGCCTCTCATCTAGTGGGAGGTGGTTGTGGACAGCAAGGCGGGCGGTAGCATCGCGCGTGAGCCACTGGGAACGAGCTACACGGTCAGCAGTCTCATCTGGGGCTGGAAGGGACCCCGACGTATGCTCATACAGTGAGACATCGTCCCTAGCTACGCTCTGCAGGCACAGCTGGAGATCCTCTAGCCAGGAGTCAAACTGGATCGGGCGACCCTCTGCGTCAAAGGCAAGCACAGTAACAGTTGCCATAGCAGCAGTAACAGTGGCAGCAGCGGCCGTGGCAGCAGGAGAAGTAGCGGCAGCAGCGGCAGCAAGGTCGGCAGCAGTAGCAGCATTAGCAGCAGCAACGGCGGCAGCGGCAGCATGACGCAAGGGCGCGGGACAAGGCGGCGCTAGTGCGCAAGGCAGGGCAGCGCGGGCCTTACGGGGCAGGGCCGCGGTAGCGCGCGGGGCAGGGTGGCGCGGGCCTTAAGAGGCAGGGTAGCGGTGGCGCGCGGAGCAGAGCAGCGCGTTGCAGCACGCGCAGGGCAGCGAGCGCGGGCAGCGCAGTCAGCGAGCGTGGGCGACGCAGGCAATGCGTGGGCAACGCGAGTAGCGCGCGTGCAGGCAGCGCGAGTGGGCGGCGCAGGCAGAGCGCAGGGCAGTGCATGGCAGCGAGCAGGCGGGGCAGCGTGCGGGCGGCGCAGGGCAGTGCGCGGGCAGCGCAGGCAGGGCGCACGCAGGCGACGCAGGGCAGCGCGCTGGCAATGCGGGCTGCGCGCGCAACGTACGGGCAGCGTGCTGGTTTCGCGGTCCGAAAGGGGTCGTGGCTCTGGATACCCTGGTTACGAGTGCAATGGGGTGAGCGAACGAAAATTGCACTATCGAAACAAACTCTTCAATGAGCGAAGACATGAGCGAATTGTTATATAGGGGATTTTTTTCGGCAACGGTAACGCGCTCGCGAAGGGATCCTATGTCGGGCATGATGTCGAGGTTGGGAAATGTCGAAGCGTAGGGCCTGGTCACGGGTTACCCGCCGAGCCGGGTGGCTTGGGCGCGATGGTTGTGTTGGCGGGAACAGTGCCGAGGCGAGTGTTGTGAGGTGGTAACGGGCTGCTTTTGGGTGTACAGTGGCGGGAGCAGTCGTGTACGCGTTTGCATTATATATTATGCGTACTACTGTAAACAACTATCTAAGAAGATGTAATAGTGTTATGAGTGCAATTGAGTGAGCGAGCGAGAATTGCACTATCGAAGCAAGAGTACAATGAGCGAAGGAATGAGCGAACAATATATAGTGAAAGCCTAGCGTGGTAACGGTCATGCGCGAGAATGTGGTGCGCGACGGGCCTAGCGCCGATGCTGGGAAATGTCGAGGCGGAGGGCCGGAGGTTACCAACCGAACCGTGAGGTTGGGTCGCGAGGTGTACCGTGGCGGGAACAGTGGTCGAGGCGAGTGTCGCGAGTCGCGAGCGGGTAACGTTTCACTGTTGGGTGCTGTTGGCGGGAACAGTCGTGTACGCTTTACGCAGGGGCGCGAAGAAATGAAAATGAATTTCCCTTACAAATACGCATATGGGCGTACTTCTGGTGTGTGTCTGCGAGTGAACAGCAAAAACCCGAAACCTGAGGCGAGGGCTTATGAGACAACTCGTTCAGATCCTTGCTGCTACCGCGTTCCGCCCTGACGTGGTACAAGCAGAGCTGCAGATCCAGCTACAGGCGAGCCTGTTATAATTAGCTATCGTGGATTAAGCCAGCGTAAACTAAGCCAGCGTAAATCAAGCTAGCGTGAAGCAATTAAAGTATCGCCATGGCGGGCGGCGGCGCGAGGACGCAGAAGAACAAGGCGCACAAGTCGCGCTTCGGCGCCAAGAGCCAACGCGCGTTGCACAAGGTCGCCAAGGGTACGTCCGTAGTGCCGCCCGTAGTACCGCCCGTAGTGCCGCCCGTAGTGCCGCCCGTAGTGCCGCCCGTAGTGCCGCCCGTAGTGCCGCCCGTAGTGCCGCCCGTAGTGCCGCTCGTCCGCTCGTTGCTCGCATTTAAGTCGTCTCCACGGTCCTTTTAATTGTTGACTCAAGCGTCACCAAGGGTGGGATCCTAGCGCTCGTCCGTTCGCCGCGCCTCTCTTGTGACGTCACCGCATCGCCAAGGGCTCGCATCCTCTCGCTTTCGCTCGCTGCGCCTCTTACGATGTTACTCGCAATGGCGAAAACGGCGTGCGAAACCGCGAGCGTTAGCGTAACGAGTCGATTTGTTTTCCAGCTTCTAGCACCGCTCGTCACGGGAGACCCACTCGCTCCCTGGCCAACGTTTTGCCCACTGCTGAAAGCGAAAACCCGTTCGTTCTTCCACGCTTTGCCCTCTACCCTGCACGTGGTTGGATCCCCCCAAATGCTTCCCCCCAAATGCTTCCCCCCAAATGCTTCCCCCCAATTCCGCCCCCAGCGTCAGACGGCGGAGCAGCAGGGGCAGCGCGCGGGGGCGCGAAGGGCAAGGGGAAGGGCCATGGCGCCGTCGCCAAGGCGGAGAGGCTCAACCGCAACAAGCTGGTACGATAGGGTTACCAGCAGTTCGCATGGCTAGAGTTTCGTAACCAGGAGAGAGGGCAGGCCAGGAGGGCAGGAAAGCAGAGCAGACGGGCAGATAAGGAGGAGGGCTCAGTAGGGGGGCAGGCCAAGAGGGAGGAGGGCTCGCAAGGGCAGGTCAGCGGGGCGGATGGGGGGGTAAAGCAGCAGCCCCTGGCGGCGCTGGCAGTGGCGCATCAAGGGCGGAGCAACTTGGTGCCTAAACCTTAAACCCTCGTTGCTCTTCAGGGGATAACCTGAGGCGAGGTGTTTTGCGTCCAGAGGAGATGGGCGGCCAGGAGTAGGGCGGACGTTCAGGGTTTAAGCCTCTATTATTTAGGGTCGAGGGCTCCTGTCGTAGAATCCTCTTGTCTCTCCTCTCCATCCTCATCCCCCGTCTCTCCGTGCCCCCCCCCCACCCCCTTCTCCATGAGCCAATGTGCTACCATTAAACCCATCCCGTCCCTTGCCCCCTCCCACCCCCTGTCGTCTCACCCACAGCTGCGGGACAGCAAGCGGGCGGACGTGCTGGCGGCCAAGTGACCTTTTTTCCACTGCGTCGTCTCTCCCCGTTCATTCCTTCTCCCCCACTCCCTACCAACCCCTTCTTCCCCCCCAACCCCACTTCGCCTCACCCACAGCTGCGGGACATCAAGCGGGCGGACGTGCTGGCGGCCAAGAGAGCTCTCATTCCATGAACGGGGAAGAGAGCTCCATCGACTGCCTCATCTCATCTCTTCCCGTTCATCCCTTCTTCCCCCCGCCCCACCCCCTGTCGTCCCACCCACAGCTGCGGGACAGCAAGCGGGCAAGCGTGCTGGCGGCCAAGCGGGCGCTCTCTGCTTCCTCCACGCCGCCCCGCGTCGTGGTGAGTCGCCCCGCCCCGCAGCGCAGGCGCAAGCCAGGCGTGTTTAGTGCTCAAATCTGCACTGCAATGGTGAGTCGGTGCCCCGAGGTCAGGCAAGTTCAAATCTGCAACGGTGCGAGGCGCTCCCCTGAGCCGAGGTGAGGGGAGCTTGAAGCGGCTGTGAGGAGAGTCTGTGGGGCAAGGCAAGGCGAGGCAAGATAAAACCGCAGGGGTGAGTCGCCCCTACGGAGCGAGGCGGGTGAGGTGAAAGCGGTAAGTCAGGGACAAAGAATGAATGAGAGTGTGAGGGCAAGGCACGTAACGTGAACCCTTAAGTGAGTGACATGGGTCGTTGTGGTAACTGGCCTCAAGGGGCCTCTCTCAAGTGACCCCTGAGCCTTCCCCAGGTGCAGCAGTGCTCACCTCCCCTCCCCTGCAATGGTGAGTCCAGCCCAGTGCACCTTTGACACCCCCCCCCCTGCCCTAGCTCGCCAGGCTCAGTGGAACCAACCACCCTCGAGTCAAGAGGGCCTTTTGACTCAGCAGCACTGCCGTGAATCACTAGGAAGGCGGCTCTGGCGGTGCTGGGAGGGGAGTTCCCCAAGGGCACGTGCCATGTGTTTGCCGTCGACTCACTGGCTGAGATGGCACCGGTGAGTCAAAGCAGGGGAAAGTTCGAGTCATGCACACAGAGGAAGGGGGCTGTGTGTGGCGGTGCTGGGGGGGAGTTCCCCAAGGGCACGTGCCATGTGTTTGCCGTCGACTCCCTCGCTGAGATGGCACCGGTGAGTTGGCTGGTTGGAGGGGAGCGGAGGCCACAAGGCAAGGCAAGGCAGCAACAGGTGGTTGGTCCATACAAAGATGGCTCTCTGATCATGTGCTTGCATTGCGGTCGACTCACTCGCCGAGATGGCCGCGGTGAGTTGGTTGGAGGGGAGGGGAGATGCCACACAGCACAGTAGCAAGCACGCGGTTGGTCCTTCTGCAGCTGGGTTTGGTTGATCAAATCAAATGGTTGGATAATTTTCTGTTCTTTTTTTTGTGGATGGAGGGAGGGGGAAACAGTTCGTATTGTTGTTTTCTGTATGGACTTTTTCCTTTTCCATTCTCACCCTGCCCTGATGCAAATCCCCCCGTTCCTGGTTCTAGCCGACTCAAATTCTCCCTGCTTTGGTTCTCCTCGAGCCTGCTGCAGGTGGTGCGGCACATAGCGGAGCATCGCCCCGTCACTCCTGGCTGGCGCACTCACCGCCCCTACCTCGTGGCGCACGATGTGAGCCATTTATGTATTTGTCATCGCACAAGCACATGCACACACACACGTCCTTCATTCCTCCTTGCCTGTGACATCATCACCTTTACTTCCCTTCCTCTCCACATCCCATGTCATCAATTCCTGTGCGTCCCTCTGCCCCCTCTCCCTCTCTCGCCGCCAGTTTGACTTCATCCCAGGCGCAGCCGACGCAGGCACGGCAGCAGCCACTAAGAGCGTGCCATGTGGCACGTTGCGGGTGGTGGGCTACGTGCGCGGCCACGGGATCAACGTGAACCAGCTGGTGAGGAGAGTCATTTGGTGAGGGGAATCGTGAGGGGGATCTGTGCGCATGTTGCACTGTGGGGAGAATGAGCAGGCGAGGAGAATCAGCTGGTGACGGAGATCGTCACGACTAGAAGACATCGCAAGGGGGAGCTGTGCTGTGCGCATGTGGCATTGTGCGTTCGCATGTGGCGTCTGTACCTACGCAGCTAGGCTGGCTGCCTTGTTACTCATCCTTCCAGTCCAATCCATCGTCTGATCATTATTATCCTGAGTGGGCGCGACTTTCCATGGGCTCAAATCCACCCAAGTCCTCACGTTTTCACCCCACTTCCCTCCTGTCGTTTAAACCCGTTTCTGCTCCTATTCTCGCGCCCACTCACCCATCCCCCCCTTTCTTCTCTTTCTCTTCCTCATCCCGTCTCCCTTCCCTGCGCAGGTGCACATCACAGGAGTGGGCGACTTTCAGCTAGCTCAGATCGACCAAGTGCCCGATCCCTGTGCTGCTGGCGAGCATGGGAGGCCGGTCGGGAGGGCTGGTGGGAGCAAGGGGAAGGAAAAGAGGGAAGGGGGGAAGACACAAGAGGGGATGGAGGTAGAGGAGGGAGAGGAGGGGGAGGAGGGGGAAGTGGAGGAGGGGGAGGAGGAGGAGGGGGGAGTGAGGGTGCTGGCTCGGTCGACTGCTGAGCTGAGGGATCCCCTTGTGGTTCTCAACACACTTGACCCGCTGGCCGGCGAGCAGGTGAGAAGAGAGGGGAGGAGGGGGAAGTGGCGAAGGAGGGGAACTATTGATTTGAGTGGTGAGTTGAGGGATCCCCTTGTGCTTAACACACTTGACCCGCTGGCCGGCGAACAGGTGCGGTGCGGTTAGGAGGGAGCGAGTAATGGGGTAGGGCAGGGAACGGGGGATATGGAAAGAGGGGAGTGAGGGTGTTGGCTCGTTTGAATGCTGAACGGAGGGATCCCCTTGTGGTGCTCAACACACTTGATCCGCTGGCCGGCGAACAGTTGAGAAGAGAGGGGCGGAGGGGGGAGAATGGTGTAGGGCAGGGAAGGGGGAGATGGAAAGATGGGAGTGAGGATGCTGGTTTGGTCGAGTGCTGAGCTGAGGAATCCCCTTTGTGGTTCTTAACACACTCGATCCACTGGCCGGCGACCAGGTGCGGTTGGGAGGGAGCGGGCGGGTGAAGAGGTGAGAGCACGTAGGTGGGTGGGTGGTGACACACACGGCATGTTGTGGGGAGCTGAGGGTTCCCCTTGTGGTGCTCAACACACTCGATCCACTGGCAGGCGAACAGGTGCGGTTGGGAGGGAAGGGGCGGGTGAAGAGGTGAGAGCAGAGGGACGAGAGCACGTGAGGTGGGTGGATGGTGACACACGGCACGTTGAGTTGAGGTGGGTGGATGGTGACACGTTGAGCACGTGAGCACGTTGAGTTAGAGGGACCAAGGTTCCGCTTCACATGCGTTGGTTGGTGGGGTAGGGGACCACATCACACGGGGGTCCCTCCACACACCAGACAAGGTGGCACAGCAGACAAGGGGATGGGGTTGTGTAAACTTCTGCACCTTCTGCACGCGGAGTCAACCTTCCTCACCTTCCCGCGCACAACCCCATCCCCGTCTTCCTGCACCGCTCCCTCCCTCCCCTTCTCCCCCTCCCCACTTTTGCCCAGACGTGGCCGACAGAGGAGGAAATGGCAGCAGCAGAGGCGGAGGAGAGGAAGAGAGCGGAGAGCAAGGCCCTGGGGGGGGGAGGAGGGAAGGAGGGCAAGGGTGGCGCCAGGCGCATCCGGGTGCCGAAAGGAACCTCCAGCTATCAGGTATGCTCTGATACCTTCGTGAAGGGTATTCTTCTTTTGAGGCGCCACGGAGTGACCCTACGTACGCTGCATTGATAATGAATCGCATTCCGTTTGTTTGACTGCTTCCTTTGTTATGCGCTGCTGCCTAATCCATGTTCCGCTCTCCCACCTCCCCCTTAATTTTTGTTGCGTGGCTGGTTGGTGTTCACGTGTGTCGCTGCAATCTGGCTGAGAGGATGTTATGAAGCTCCTGAAGATATGCATGAGGCTAAATAGTAATAACATATTGTGTTGCTTGTTTGTGTTGAATTGCAGGCGGCATGGATGCAAGGTGGTGACGAGGAAGAGAGCGAGGGGGAGGAGGAGGACGAGGAGGAGGAGGGAGAGGAGGGAGAGGAGGCGATGGAGGAGGGAGAGGAGAGGGATGGGGGTGAGCAGGGAGGAGCAGAGGAGGAGGAGGAAGGGTCGGGGAGTGATTGGGAGGAGGTAGATGAGGATGATGGTGTGGGAGGGGAGAGGCTAGAGGGAGGCAGCACCCACGATGGGCTCATGGTGCGTGCTGCTCTCATTTCATGCCAAGTGTTGTCCCTCCCTTCGATTCCCTGCATTCATGGTGTCTCCATACCTTCTCTCTCACATCTCATCCACCTTCCGTCGCTCATCCACCTTCTCCTGTGTTTGTTATACATTGAGGGCCATGCAGGATGAGGGCGATGCAGGATGTGAACAACCCCTCTTCCTTCCCCTCTCATTCCTCCCCTTGTGTGTTTCTGGCTGGATGAGAAAGGAACAGAGGCAGAGAGGCAGCGCCTCACACAGAGACACGAGGACAACGCCTCCACCATCCTCACTTACCCTTTCCCCCCCTTCTCCCCTTTGTGGCAGGATGAGGATGATGCAGAGGGGGAGGCGGAGAAGAGGGCTCGAGCTCAGTGGGAGGAGATGAAGCGGCTGAGGGTGCAGCAGCAGGAGGACCAGGGTGGGTGTGGGATTCATTCAGGGTGTGGGTAAGCTGAGCTTCAGGGTACTCAGTGTGAGCTCAGTGGGAGGAGATGAAGCGGCTGAAGGCGCAGCAGCAGGAGGACCAAGGCGAGCTGTGTACGAGGGGAGGATTGAGCCACGGTTACTGGGAAGTGGACAGTAATTGCGGGTCATAGTGAGCCGGTATTATCAAGGGGGAATTATCTCCAAATCCAAGTTTGAAACCCAACCTCAAACTAGGGTTTACCCTAGTTGGCCACCCAAGCGAAGTTTGGGTGCTTATCTTTACCCAAGAGAGCCATTCAGTGCAGGATGAAGGTGTAGACATAATTTGACAGGAGTGTCCCGAGAGCGGCATCAATCCGGACTGGACGATTCCCCCATCCTCTCTCCCCTGTCTATTTCCTTGGTCGTCTCTCCCAGAGTTCCCTAACGAGGTGGACATAGCTGACGACACCCCGGACGAGGTGGACACGCTTTGCCAAGCTTTGCTACCTCATTCATTCCCCCATCCATTTCTTGTTGTTCCCACCACCCCATTCCACGCCAATCAGAGTTCCCGGACGAGGTGGACACCCCAGACGACATCCCGGCGCGGCAGCGCTTTGCCAAGTACCGCGGGCTCAAGTCCTTCCGCTCCTCGCCCTGGGACTCCAAGGTGCTGTGCGGTATGATGCGATGTTTTTTGCAGTGGTGTCCTGTGCGATATGATGCGATGTTTTTGTGTGCTGCTGCAGTGTTGCTCTCCCAGGTAGTGTGTGGTTTTCTGTGCGATACTGTGCGGTTTGCTGCTCGTAATTCGCCTCACAGCCTTGCCAAGGAATGCGGGCTCAAGTTGCTCAGGTCATTCCTTGGGGAGAGCCCAAGGTGGGTAACTTACTGCTATTGTGACCGTGTCAAGGTGTTGTGTGCGGTGCTGTCTGGTGCTGTGTGCATTCCACCATGCCCCCCAACCCCCCTCCCTCTGCCACCAACAAGATTCCCTCCCACACACGCACACATCTTCTCCTTCAACTGGAAGAGGTCGCACAAGCGGCTTTTGAGTCGACTCAAAGGTCCCAGAGGCGGACAAGGGAGAAGGGGCCACCACGGCATCTCTCACATTCCCTTCACTAGACCCCCACCCCCTCCCCACCCAATCCCCCTTCTGCCGCCCACACGAGTCCCTCCCCCTGAGTATGCGTGCATATTCTCCTTGGACAACTGGAAGAGGACGCACCAGCCAGCAGGGGAGAGGAGAGCAGTACGGCAGCTCTCACATTCCCTTTACTGAAACCCCACCACCCTCCCCCTTAACCCCCCTCTGCCGCCCACAGGAGTCCCTCCCCCCTGAGTACGCGCGAATATTCTCCTTTGACAACTGGAAGAGGACGCAGAAGGCGGCGGAGGAGCGGGCGGCAGCGGTGGACCGGGGCGAGGTGCCCGGGTCGGTTGGGGCGGGGACGTTTGTCAGGTTGCACATTATGAACGTGCCATGCTCCGAAGCAGGTACAACGTTTATGAACGGCACTGATGATGCCGCTTTTGAGAGTACTCAGAAAAGCGACTGATTCTATATTTGTGCATGTATTTGTTAGTGTGCATTGCAGTGTGCAATGTGTGCATTGTGTGTAACCAACCAATCATGCATGCATGTTGCAGGGCCGTGTAGGTGGGCATGCAGGCGCTTTGTATAATCCATTCAATAACCCTAACCCTTCGTAATTATCTTGCTTTCACTATCTCTGCAATATGGTCCTCTCTTTATTCACACGTGCCTTGTTCTCCCAAAGACCCTTTTTTTTTCTTCCTGTGCCCTTTCCACCCCCTTCCCCCCTCTTTCTTCCACTCCCCTCCCTTCTCCCCCACCCTCACCCTGCGCAGAGCGTCTGCAGCACGAGGCGGCCAATCGCGGGCTGCCACTTGTCGTGACGGGGCTGCTGCAGCACGAGGCGCGCATGACAGTGCTGCACTTCTCAGTCAAGAAGGCCGACTCCTTCGCCGCCCCCATGAAGTCCAAGCAGCGCCTCCTCTTCCACTGCGGCTTCCGACGGTTTTACACTCGGTGAGCGTTGGTTGCTGGTGTTGACTGCTGGTGCTGGTGCTGAAAAACAGGCTAAAGCCGTGATTTCTATTCAACCATTATCCTACTCTCCTGCCCCCACCACACACCTTCCAAATCTTCCTTCACCATCTTCCCCTCCTCCACAGACGAAATCAACCTTGAGAAGCACAAGTTTGAGAGGCTCCTTTCCTCCTCCCTTATCATCAACCACTATCCCTCCTCTCCTCCCCCCTCCCCTCCCCACCCCTCCTCCCTCCACCCACCTTCCCACACACCCCCCAACTGACAACATCAACCAGGATAAGCACAACCTGAAGCTGTGATTTGCATTCAACCACCGTCCTTCAGTCCCCCTTCTCCCCCCACACCCTCCCCCCTACCCCCTTCTCCCCACCCCCCCAGCCCCACCTTCTTCACAAACGACATCAACCAGGACAAGCACAAGTTCGAGAAACAAGCTGAAGCTGTGATTTGGCATTGTGCTGTGCTCAAATCAACCATTGTACTGTGCTCCCCCTCTCCCCCCACCCCCCCACCTTCCAACCCCCCTCCACCCCTCCACCCCCCCCCCCCCCAGCCCCACCTTCTCAACGGACGACATCAATCTCGACAAGCACAAGTTCGAGCGCTTCCTGCACCCCGGAAGGTTCGCGGTAGCTTCCATCTTTGCGCCCACGCTCTTCCCGCCGCTCCCCCTCCTCGTCTTCGCCGACCCGTCTGCCGCCAATCAGCACGCAGGAGAGGGTGTGACGGGAGGAGGGAGTGCGGGGGTAGGGAGTGTGGGGGGGAGTGTGGTGGGAGGGAGTGTGGTGGGGGAGGGGGAGGAGCTACAGCTGGCGGCAACGGGGGCTTTAAGAGGGCCGGACCCTGATCGTTCCTCTCCCATGTCCTCGTTCCTCTCCCATGTCCTCGTTCCTCTCCCATGTCCTCGTTCCTCTCCCATGTCCTCGTTCCTCTCCCATGTCCTCGTTCCTCTCGCGTCCCTCGTCCCCCTGACCAGCCAGTGGAACTCTTCACCAAGCACGGCCGGACGGTCGCATTCGCACAGTGCGCAGCATCCAACCATTCTCCCACTCCCCACTCCCCACTCTCACTTCTCCCCTCCCTCGTCCCCCTCGCCAGCCTGTGGAGCTCTTCTCCAAGTACGGCCGGAGGGGGCGCATTCGCAAGCCGGTGGGCACCAAAGGTGGGTGGGTGGGTTCTGTGCTGCACACGGAATCTTCACATAGTGTCTCTGTGTGGTGTGCACGGACCATGGCGACTTTCAAGGCGCCTCAAAAGGGTGTGTGGGGGCTGTGCTACACACAGAATCTCCACATAGTATCTGTGTGTGGTGTGGACGGACCATGGTGCGTGGAGGTATTGTTTTTGAGTCGACTAAAAAGCAGGAATGTTCACATAGTATTTGTCCGTGGTGGACCATGCTATCGTGTGTTTGGCAGTGTGATGCTATCATGTGTCCACCGGTGCTCACTCCTTACCCATCTCAACCACTTGCTTCTATTCCTCTTACCGTACTTCCACCTGTCTTGCGTGCATCTTAACGCCTCTCATCACCGCCCGCCAGGAGCAATCAAGTGTGTGTTCGATGGGGTGGTGCTATCGTGTGCTCACCCATGCTCACTCCTTCCCGTATACCGTTCGTGCTTCCACCCCTCTTGCTTTCACCCCAATACCCCTCATCAATGCCCCTCGTCAATACCTCTGATCACCGCCTGCCAGGAGCAATCAAGTGTGTTTTCGATGGGGTGGTGCAGCAGCGCGATGCCGTCTGCATGGCCCTCTACAAGCGAGTCTACCCCAAGTTCCCCGTCCTGCCAGCCTCTCTTTGGTCAACTACTAGTCTACCCCAAGTTCCCCATCGCTGCTGATTGCATACATATCCCGCGATACATGCACAATATAAAAAATTCAAATATTATATTATCAAGGATCCAATACACCCATAGGGTAAAAAACAAAACCCACCCACACACATACACACACACACAGGTGCACACACACACACACACCCGCACACGACACACGAAGCACACTCGAAGCTAACAATCCTGAAGGATTTACTAGAGCAGCAAACTAGGAAGCTAAATATACACACTCAGCTAATACATGGTGCTAAATATACACACTCAGCCAACCACGCACTCAGCCAACCATCAGCCCAATTGGTTCCTAGCCTCCGAGCAACCGCATGCAGTTGCTCGCGCCTCTGCTCCATCAGCCCCCGCCGAGACATCCCTCTGGCGCTGCCAGCTTGCGCCTCCTTGCCCCTGCGGCTCCTTGCCCCTGCGCCTCCTTGCCCCTGCGCCTCCTTGCCCCTGCGGCTCCTTGCCCCTGCGGCTCCTTGCCCCTGCCCATCCAACTAGGGTTGCCCGCCCTTCCAGTGGCTATTACCATACCCTACAGAGTGACCACAATCAATTCATGGTTGCAACGAGAGGGCAATGGGCAGGGCATAACGTAATGAGTGAGATGAGACAGAAAAATGATAGCGGCATGTGGGTCGATCATGGGTGCATGTGGGTGGTCATGTGGGTGGTGGAGGTGGAAGTTGCTCAGCTGGCTCCATGGGCTTGGAAGAGAGCAAGACACAAAGCAGGGTGGGCATCACACTCTCTTTCTTGATGTGCACACAAACAATCCAGACATGTAAAAGAGACGGGTGTAACACACCAAATGTCTTGCATAAGGAGGTCAAAGAGAGATTGTAGTGAAAGGTGGGTTGTGTCTCGCTCTCTTCTCTTCTATCAAATACTTCCTGTATTCTTGTTTTTGCCAGTACAAAGCCATGTGTGGGTTATAAGCTGTTGAGGGTTTGTGACATAACAGAGTGGTGGCCCTAGGGTCATGCGTATGCACTCGCACTTACTGATCTCGCAGCTCATTGATAGCGGCATGTTTCCGTTCTTTATAGTCCTGAGAGCGAGAAAGGTATGGTAGGGAATGATAGTGAAGGGTAAGTTGTTTGAGGACAAAAACACAGCAAACGCAAAATGGTAGTGAATGCTCGGAATAAACTGCAAGAAGCACATCGCACCTGGCGTGCATCACATCACGCTCACACACCTTTTCGTGTCGGGGTAGACATCGCCAACCCTCTCAGGTCGAACGATCTTCAAGCCCGGCTTGCCCGTGCAGTTGGGGACGTTGTGAAACGCAACGCTTGCGCACGTGTCGTGGGCATAATCCTCGGAAGTTGTGGAATCGTTCCACTCGAGGGTGATTTTCACATGGGCGTTTGGCTTCCTGAGCTGGGGGTTCAGTGCTGAGCTGGCGGCCAGGTCGCTGCATGCGGTGCCACTGGCTCGCGCTGTTGGCAGCACCGTGGCATAAAACCAGAAGCCCTCCTCGCCTGAGCCGGTCTGCTGCAGACCCACAGACGTCCGCAGCCTGGTACCTGAGTGGCTGACGTGGCGGTTGATGAAGCAACGGTTGGTGCCGTATCGTGGCAGGAAGTGCGTTGATGGTTGTCGTGGTGATGACGTGGGCCGCGCCGCGCCGCGCCGTCCAGTTGGGAAAGGGAGCGCGAAGTAGAGGTGAGAGGGGGGTGGGGGAGCGGAATTTAGTGCGGATGAGGGAATGGTTTAGTTTAGAGAATGAAAGCGCTGGCACACAGGGCTGCTCTAGGGGCTCAGACTTGTGAATTAATAGTGTGACTATGTGATAAAGGTGGGTGCCTCAGAAGAGAGTATGGAGTGCAGCTCACCAATGCAACGGTCCTTCTTTGCTATCGTGTAGCCGGGCACACACACACGCAGATCCCTTTTCCATGTTTTGGAGCGCAGATCATGTCCATTGGACACGTGACTGACGTGCACGGGTCTGAAGCGGGGATGGGAGCAAGGGAAGAGAAGAACGGAGGGGACGACGGTAAGCAAAGCTGCTGCCATGGTTGTACGCACCAAGAAATGTACCGTATGTAGCTAGTCAGTAAAAGGTGTAAGAGAGAGTGAAGCATGAGCGTGAAGCAAGAGTGAACAGCGCTTGGGTGCCACAGTCAGTACTCACCAGCAGCAGTAGCGGCAGCGGCGCTGGCGTGGGTCGCGAGGAAGCTGATGGCAACGAGACCCGCGACGAGTGCGGCGAGGCCACACAGGCCGGACAGGCGCGCGCAGGGCCTCATGGCGACGGGAGAGGAGACGGCCGAGTCAGCGACGGCGGGATGGCGAAACGTGTCAACTCTCTCTCAAGGTTTGAACCGCCGATGGCACTCACGTCGCTGGTAGCCGCGACGAGGTGTAATAGGTGCGACAGAGGGTGTACTACTATCAGTAGATGAGATGGAGAGGCACGCTATCAGCGAGAGGCGGTGTGAGAGCAAGGGCAATCGAGCTGTGACTGGACCTCAGAAGCGGGCATCGATTTATGTGCGGAGAGTGAGTGGTCACTTGCTCTCGCAAGCGGCGTTGCACACTCTCGGATGATGGCAAAACGCGTTCCATCGGGGGGAATAGGGGGGAACGGGAAATTTATTGGACCGGCGGAACGAGGGCACAGCGGCCTTCGGTTGGGGGAGGAGGGGGGCCTAAACGTGCATTAGACATCTGCAGCATCAATAAACCACTAACGATCCCGTCATGATGCTAAAAGGGAGGAACGCGAAAGGAGTCGCGGACGAGGGCGCGGCGATGGCGGGAGGGAGGCCCGAAAGCGCTAGGTTGGCGCAACCCCAGCGTGGTCAAGCGCTGATTGCCACTGGCAATAAGACCGAGGCAATAAGACCGAGGCAATAAGACCGAGGCAATAAGACCGATGCGAGACTGAAGCTCTGCGGCGTGGCGGAAAGAAAAGAAGCCCCCGCCTCCAATGCTGCTAGTAGTGCGCCGCTCGCGGAAACCGCGGCATGGGGTTGCGCGACTTGCGCGAGAGTGACATTGGTGTGACGAGCGCGTTACCTTCTCGGACCAATCGCGCTATGGACTTGAGGATATGTAACGCGGAAAGGTGGGGTGCGTGCGGAACGAGACGGACGCAAAGCGTTTCGCGTAGGGAGGGCGCAGGGGTGGGAGGTGAGAGGGCGATTTTCATCATATGGAAGGAATGGAACGCGAAAAGCAGAAACGGGCGGGGGTGACGATGATCGCCATCCAGTGACGAGAAGAAAGGCCAGCGTGCGGCTGGTCGAGGCGGGATACAAGCACTGCGGGAACGAAAAGCCTTCCGCCTCTAAAAGTACTACCAGTGGCGCGCTCGTGCAGACCAGAGTTGCGAGATGCGGGACTTGCGGGAGTGCCTCTAGCTGCGAGCAATAGATGCATGTGTGAAATGAAGGCTGTGACGCGTTTGGCAACGCCTAGGCCAATGGGGAGTGAACGATCAGGCATTTTTATAACAAGCGACGCTTTGCGAAGATTGTGTAACGTCCGTTAGCCCACCGGGCTATGTTCGCCGGAACATTTTGCTAGGTCCGACGAACTTCAGCGACAGAAATCGGTCCGTGGTGCTGGCGAACTTGGTCACGCGAGGGACCGGCCGTCCGAACGGCTCTTTTTCTCGCCGATCTCGCTCGCCGTCACCACACCGTTAATCGGTTGATCTGACGGCTGGGCTCGAGGGAAATGTACTTTAGGGCGCGTCAAATCCCCAAACATATGCGAAATTGTGTTTCGGCTGCTGTTTCGTCGACCATGGTCGACATTTTTTTCGCGAAAGCCGACGGATTGGTCGACAGTGTGTTGAGAGATTAACGGCCCAGATTCGGTGTTTTGCAAATCTGACACTTGTTTAGTTTGACTCTTTAGTGCAATCTTCACTCGCTCGTTCCATCGCACCCGTAACAACTTGTCAGAAGCTCGTCGCACAGCCAATGGTTTGGAACAAGAGCTTTTCCCTGTCGAGCTGACCCCGCCGTGGCCCCTCCGTCGTCTCCGATTTTCCGGACGACTTGATGGCATCAATCCACAGCAGGAAACACGCGCCAAACCCTTCGAGGTCGCGTTGCGTTGCGACCATGTGCGACGTCTTTCATCACAATGCTTGAAAGCCTGCGAAACTCCAGATTTTGATGCGACATCACTCACTTCACTTCAGTCAGATTCGCGAGTCTTTCTGGTGCTTTCATGTTGTGTCCTAGCACGTTAGGCATATTTTTCATGCCAAGTCGGCTTTAGGCATTCGCCGTCTAACCGCGGTAGGACTCCAGCCCCTCCGTAGAACCCGTGCATAGAGGCTCGTCTTTCTCTGTCAGAAGACCGCAGCCAATTTTAACGCTTTTTAAATTCCAGCCTGAGTGACATCTTCGAAGTTAGGGCTCCTTATCGGATCGCATAATGTCGACCGGTGATCCCGAGGGTCCAGCTGGCGAGTTCAGCGTCCGTAAGGATGCGGCTGGCGCAGCCGCAAAGCCGCGATCCGTGCCGTTCAATCGCAACAATAACCTGTTCGAGGCCAAGTCCGATTCGGAGCTTTCGCAGGTGCTGGTTGAGGCGAAGAAGACCAAACGGCCAGTGAGTAGACTTTTGGCCAGACGAGTAGTCCTACGACGAGTGAGTAGTCGTGACCGTTACTTGACGGAATGCGATTCTGTTTGCTAAAGCGAAGATATTACGTACAGTGGGCCTCACGACTGTACACACTAGGTTTCGGTTTTCCGAAACAGTGCGAGACGTGGACGACGTTGTCGGAGTATTAACGCGTTACTCCTCTGATGCCTCCGTCCTGGTTCCGCCTTTTTTTCCCTGCGTGGCCAATTTCTTTAGAGTTTGTTCAGGTCGCCGTTTCCAAATCCCATGTGTTAACTCACTGCCTTCCGCCCTCCCTCCTTATGAAATCTTATGTTTTTCTTATCACAGGTTGTCGTGACGTATGGCGCCAGCTGGTGAGTTTCTGCCTTTTTATGCTCTCATGCAGTTGGCATGGCATGCATGGTCAGGACCATGGTGCATTGTTTGATGTTGTCCGCAACCACACTAATTGTATGTTCTGCATGTTTGAGGGATTGTTTCTTCTATCTTTTGATTTTTTTAACAACTCTCAGACCAAGGCGTTTCACCCCCCCCCCCCATCTCCCATTCCCTCCCTAACTGATACCACCATACTGTCGCCATGCATCCCTGTGCAGGTGCCATGCGTGCAGTAAGATGCTTCCCACCTTTTTCAACCTGAGCAACGAATACTCGCGGCCCATCTTTGTGTACGCTGATGTGGATAAATGCACTCAGATGGCTGAGGATGTTCGCTACACCCCTACGTTCCGTTTTTTCCGTGAGGGCAGTAAAGTGGACGAGTTCTATGGAGCAGGTCCGCAGAGGCTCCGAGATAGAGTGTGGCTGCAGTCATGAGAGGGTGGTATGGCGTCCCTGTGCCGAGGTTGTGTGGGAGCAGCAGTGACTGTGCCGAGTTAGTGTGGGAGAAGTGACTGTGTATGTGTGCAGTGCAGGTGGTGCAGGGATGCGGAAGGCATAAATGAGGTGGAGCTGCCGAGCTGACACAGAGATGCAGACTGGCCAGTGGGCACTAGCAGCATAGGTTACATTGTGCAGTTGGTGAGGGGAAATGAGTCTTGCCGATAGATTACCGTTAGGGTTGCACCTGCTCATCCTTCGTTGGCGATGGCGACGGTGTAAGTCAAGTGTGTCACTCTTTTTCTTCTCCCTCATAAAGCAGGGCCTCAGGGGTTAGAGTGCATTTATCCAGTTCATTCCATTTTAGGTAGACTACGATATCCACCAGCATTCTGGACTGGTACCTATATAGCTGTAATGCTAATTCTTGCAAAGTTTCGGTTGAGTTGCTTCCAATAATTTCGTCTGCAGTGTGGTTTTCCCTCTGTGTAGCATGATATTCGTCTAGTACTACGGTACCTGTATCCTGCCTTTTCTGTGACTGCTTCCAATCAGGGCTGATTTTATCAGACTATTTTAGTCTGATTGTCTGAAATCTCAGACTCTTTTTTTTGCCTTTCCTGAAATTTCAGTATTCCTGTATTCTGAACTCTGAAGGCCTCAGACCTGTTAGTTTTTCAACTCTGAAAATTTCAGAGTACTTCATTGTGCGATACTGAGACTCGAGACTACAGGGAGTATGGCCCCTGAATTTGCCGAATTTCAGTCCTCCCCCCTCCCCCTCTCTCGAATTACATTCAATTCCCCCCCTGCCCCCCTCCCCCCTCCCCCTTCCCCCGCCCCCTCTTACTCCTGCTTCTCGCCAACTCCGCAACGTTTTCCCTAGGCCAAACTCGCTTGACAGATATTCGCTATTCACCAACTCGGATGCAGTTTTACAAACTTAAAACTTTCAGACTAATGATTTTTTCAAACCTGACATTTCAGAGTACTCAGAACTTGGGAAATGACCCTCAGACTAAACGAAATCTTTTTCTCCCCTGCCTCAGAGTGGGTTTTTTTGAAACGTCAGCCCTGCTTCCAATCCAATCTTTAACTTCTGTTGTTTGTAATTTGCAATATCACCGTTTAGTGTATCCTGACACACTACTTTCTGGACCTCACTGCAATCTTGTAGAATTCGTAAGGATTTCTGGGTTCCCGCCAGCTGGCTTGTCATGACTGGCTTGAAGATTGCGCTTTGAACTCCACAAGCTGCGCGAATCCAGCTTGCCGCCACGCTGGCAGAGCACTTGGTTCCTCGCTTTCTAAATTTCATCGGTTCCGTCTGGTTGCTCCAGTTTTTCCTCCATCAATTTGCTCACAACGATTTTTTTTTGCATCAGTGTGTTTCGTTGTTGGCTTCCTCTAGCTTCAGTTTTCCCTCATCAATTTGAGTTCTCACGGCTGTTGAGTTCTTAGCTGCTTGTCCAGCTCAGAACGTACCTCGTGGCTGCTGATTGATCCTTTCAAATCATGGCTACCGCCGCTGTCAGAGTCCTGCAAGCTGCAGCAACAGGGCCTTGCCACGTGTCGCTTCAGAGAAATACGATCAAACTAGCGAAGCAGGGTAAGTCAAACAGCTGCGGATTCAGAAGATCCAGCAGGTTTGCCTCTCTCTTCGCCTTCCAAAAAGACACAATTTCCCGTGAGAGACGGTTCACCGCATTCGCCACGTCGTCCGGCTCGACATCCACGTCAGAAGCCGAGCAGAAGCAACAACAAGAATCCACGTCAGACGCCAAGAAACCCGCATTCGAGGACGTGCCGGAAGTAATCGACGAAGACGTCGGCGAGGTCGAGAAGATTCTGGGAAGCCGCGTGGCGGAGGACGGCGTGACGCAGTATTTGATCGAGTGGAAGGACGACCACCCGGACAGCTGGGAGCCGCGCGAGAACGTCGCGGCGGACCTGGTGGCGGCGTTCGAGGAGCCGTGGTGGACTGCGGTGCGGCGCGGCGACGACGCGAAGATCGAGGAGCTTCTGGCGGAGGGGCGCGACGTGAACGCCGTTGATGGGAATGGGCGGTCCGGGCTGCTGTTCGCGGCGGGGCTTGGGAATGAGAAGGTGAGTGCGGTGATGAGACGGGATGAGTGTGGGGATGAAATGGTGAGTGCGCAAATGCGAAGGCGAATGCGGGAATGGAAAGATGAGTGCGGGAGTGGGAGGGTGAGTTCGGGAGTGGGAGGGTGAGTTCGGAAGTGGGAGGGTGAGTGGGGGAGTGAGAAGGTGAGTGCGGAAATGAGAAGGGTTGAATGCCGTCCATGGGATGGCCGCTCTGCGCTGCTGTTTGCGGCGGGGCTGGGAATGAGAACGTGACTCTGCCTTTCTACTCGTTTCCGTTATTTGTGGAATGGGTTGGCCAAGGCTGGCGCCGTGAGAGCATACATTGAACGTGCGCCAGCTTGGAGCCAAATCTCATATTATGCGTGCAATTTTGTCGCTTCTCGTCTCGGTGACTGCAATTGGAGACGGAAATCCGTGCTTATCTCATTCGTTTTTATCCTATTCTTATGTCCGTGTTTATTCCCTCGTGCCATCAACCCACAACCCCTTGGGCCACGTCAGCTGGTTCGCAAACTGCTGGAGGAGGGAGCTGACGTGGCGTGGCAGGACAAGGAGGGCTACAGTGCGCTGCACATCGCTTCGGGGTGAGTCGCTGCAGAGGGGAGAGCAGGAAGAGGCAAGGAATGATTTTTCGTTTTGCTGGGGGGGAGTGTTTTGAGACGTCTCAAAAACTACTTCAAGCAAGGAAGGCTACAGCGCGCTGCACATCGCTTCGGGGTGAGTCGCTGCGGAGGGGAGAGCAGGGAGAAGCGAGGAGTTGACTTTTGAGTCGACTCAAAAGACAACTCGTGGCGTGACAGGACAAGGAGGGCTACAGCGCGCTGCACATCACTGCTGGTGAGTCGCTGCGGAGGGGAGAGCAGGAAGAGGCAAGGAATGACTTTGCGTTTGCTGGGGAAAGTGAGAAGGAAAACATCAGATCTGATGTGAGTGCTTCTGCATGTCTGGTGGGCGCGCGTAAAAAAATGAAAACATTTGCAACAGTGGCCAGTGGGGATCAAGTGAAGGGCGACCAGCCTCATCTATCCAACCACTACAGACCGACACCACTGAACACCAACACCGCCTTCCACCAACCTGCACACGAATTGCAATAAGTCCACGATAGTCGGTGCAAGATACTCTTCCCGTTTTTTGAGTCGACTCAAAAATCGTCCCTGCACACGAATTACAATAAGTCCACGATAGTCGGTGCAGGATGCTCTTCCCGTTTCATTTGAACCGCGCCTCCCCCGCCTAAACTGTTACATGCTCCCCGATAGTTCTCCGTTACTCAATAGGTTGATGGCTACTTGTGCCCCTCTATTGCCCCCGGTCGCCTGGCGTAAGTCAAATTTGTACCTGCTAGGTCATCCCGTACCTGACCTGAACCCCCTACCCCCTTCCCCTCCTCCCCCTCCCCTCTCCCTCCAATCAGCTACGTGCATTCCACAATAGTGCGCGCGCTGCTGGACCACGGGGCGGACCCCGAGCAGGAGGACAAGCAGCAGCGCTCGCCCCTCATTCTCGCGGAGCAGCTGCTCAAGGCCACTCCCGCTAATAACCCCGGCGCGGTGAGTGCCCATTACCCTGCCTTTTTTACTTTTCCTCTTTTTGTTTTTCCTTTCACTATGATGGTCTCAAACAACTATTTTGCTGGACTTCAAACAATGCAGCGAGTGGTTTTTTTTTTTTTTTTTGTGAACAAACCAGCTTACAATCTCTCACCAACCGTGCAGCAGATGGGTGATGTCTTCTAAAAATTTCGAATCCCTTCACCAGTTTAAAAGAAAACCCTCCGATTCCTTGCTCTCCTCGGCCCACTCTCTTGTTCCTACCGAATACATGCTGAACAAACCGTTTTGCACCACCACCCACGCACCCCCCAAACCAACCTCTTCCTCCGTCCCTTTGTCAGTTCGCCCGGCACCTGGCGCTTGACAACGTGGTGAAGACGCGCGATGACCAGGCGAACCTGTGGTGAGGATTCCCGCCTGAAGACATGTGTCAAACAAACCTCTCCTCTCCCAACCCCTGTCTGTGTCCATCTCAGTTCGCCCGGCGCCTGGCGCTTGACAACGTGGTGAAGATGCTGGATGAGGCGAACCTGTGGTGAGGATACCCTAGTGGGACATGTTCTGTAACAACCCTTCTCCTTCCACCCCCATCCTCAACCAACCCCTTGTCAGTTCGCGCGGCGGCTGGAGCTTGACAATGTGGTGAAAATGCTGGATGACCAGGCGGACCTGTGGTTAAAAGATCATGATCTTTAACATCCCTTCGCCTCCCACCCACCCCCACCCAACCCCCAAACAACCCCTTGTCAGTGTCAGTTCGCGCGGCGCATGGCTCTTGACAACGTGGTGAGGTATACTAAAAGGACGTGCTTGTTAACAACCCCTTTCCTCCAACCCCCAACCAACCCCTTGTCAGTTGCGGCGCCTGGCCCTTGACAATGTGGTGAAGATGCTCGATGAGGCGGTGTTTGAGGATGCCCTATAAAGACACCTTCTGAAACAAACCTTATCCCACCCCCTCCCACCCACCCCCCAACCAACTCCTTCCTGTCTCCATCTCAGTTCGCGCGGCGGCTGGCGCTTGACAACGTGGTGAAGATGCTGGATGAGGCGGTGTTTGAGGAATCCGAGGTGGATCAGATCTTAGATAAGCGCATAGCAGAGGACAGCACGGTTGAATACTTAGTTAAGTGGCAGGATGACTCAGAGGACAGCTGGGAGCCGGTGGAGAACATAGGGGAGGACTTAGTTAAGGATTTTGAGGAGGGGCTGGAGTATGGTGTAGCGGAGAAGATTCTGGAGAAGCGGGTGGTGGGGGCGTCGCAGGGTGGTGGGGAGGGCGTGGTGGAGTACTTAGTTAAGTGGCAGGACTCGGATGAGAACACGTGGGAGCCGGAGGGGAACGTGGCGGCTGATGTGATTGCTGAGTTTGAGGGGGTGAGTGTGGAGGAGGTGGAGGCACGACTGGGGAAAGAGGGAGAGAAGTAGAAAGGTGGATGTGTGGTGGTGTGGACACACACTCAAATTCATGCTTTGATTCGCCCTTGTTCGCCTTTGTTGGACGTTGAGCAGCCTTCAGGCTGATATACAAACACCCTCCTGTATGAAGCTAGGCTGAATGATTGCTGGACAAGGCAGCAAGCAACCCTATGCAGGAAGGAAGCTGTAAGCATGTAGGGTAAACTTCATGCACGCCCACTGACTGAATCTCCTATTCGGAACAACCCAGATTCATTCTACCGTACAAAAGCATTGACAACTACCGGTACCCAATTCGTGCAGGTTCATGCCAACACTGCTCAGCGCGTGAGAAAGCATTTTCGCTCGACTAAAACGGTGCTTGAGAGTGTCATTAATCAAGTGTAACCTGTTGGCAACAGTGTTACTCCGTTACTATGCACCAACAAGAGAAGCCAGGACGGGCATCTCGTGTCATCCTGAAGCCAACATACGGTACAATATGGTGGGGTATGCAGCAGCATGCTCCTCCATGCTGTCACTTGCTCTTGGCATCCAAGCCAGCAAACACGTTCGGGGCAGGGCAGCTTCACGGGGAGACAGCCTGGGCGACTTTTGAGTTGACTCAGAAATCACATTCTACAGCAAGTACGGTACATGCCCCCCCCCCCCCCCCCCCCCAGGTTGTTGTCACTCGTTCTTAGCATCCAAGCCGGCAATCATGTTGGGGGAAGCACCACGGGCGGGGAGGTGCGAAGCCAAGATGACCTTTGAGCCGACTCAGAAGTCTTATTCTACAGGTAATATACGGTATTGCCCCACATTGTCACTTGTTCTTGGCATCGAGGCCGGCGAACATGTTGGGCGCAGCAGCCCCACGGGGAGGCGCGAAGCCAAGCAGCTTCTGCAGGTTGGGGCGGATGCTGAGCGAGCAGAGCATGTAGAGGAACACCATGGAGCAATCTGTTGGGTCGTCCCCTGGCAGACCGCGGTGCGACATGTTGCGCTGTCAGTGGGGTGTTGAGGGAGGGGGCGAAGGGAGGATTAGGGAGTGGTGAGCGAGCAGAGCATGTAGAGGAACACCATGGAGCAGTCGGTGGGGTCGTCCCCTGGCAGGTTACGGTGCGACATGTTGCGCTGACATGAGGAGCACAAAGGAGGGTGGGGGAACGGGAAAAGGGGGGTTGAGGGAAGGGGAGAGGGGGGGGGGGTTGAGAGTGTTGAAGCGTAAAGGAGGGCAGAGTAGCAAGGATGGTGAGGGTGAGCGAGCAGAGCATGTAGAGGAACGCCGTGGAGCAATCTGTTGGGTCGTCCCCTGGCAGGTTACGGTGCGACATGTTGCGCTGTGGGGAGCAGGTGGGGGATGGGGCGAGAGGCGAATGGAGTAGGGATTGCTGAGCGAGCAGAGCATGTAGAGGAACACCATGGAACAGTCCGTTGGGTCGTCCCCTGGCAAGTTACGGTGGGACATGTTGCGCTGCATGTGGGAGCAGGAGGGGGGTGGGGGATGGGGCGAAGGGCGGAGTAGGGAGTGGTGAGCGAGCAGAGCATGTGGAGGAACAGGAAGTGGGGAGAAGGAAGCGGGTTGGGGGGTACGGCAAAGGGAGGAGTAGGGAGTCCTAAGGGGGCAGAGCATGTAGAGGAACGCCATGGAACAGTCGGTGGGACTCCAAAATGATTTCCAATCAATCCCCTGGCAATCACGTTTGAGAATGGTCAAAAGTGATCGCTCCCTGGCAGGCCCCGATGCGACATGTTGCGCTGTCAGTAGGGAGGAGGAAGGGGGGCGGGAGAAGGGGAGAAGGGGGGAGTAGGGAGGAAAAGCAAGGAACACCATGAGCAAGCAAAGCACGTGGAGGAACGCCATGGAACAGTCGGTGGGATCATCCCGTGCCAGCCTGCAGCGTGGCATGGGGAGCAGGAGGGTGGGTGGGCTAGGGAGAGAAGGGGGGGATAGGGAGTGCTGAAATGTAGAGGAGGGCAGAAAAGCACGGATTGAGGAATATCAAAGAGCAGCCCGAGGGGCCTTTCCCCTTCTTAAGGGGCCATCGAAGAACACACACGAGTGGCGCACAATGTGCTGCAATGACCGAAAAAGGGGAGACTTTTGAGTCGACTCAAACGTCGCATTTCTCCTTCTCGAGGGGCCATCGAGGGACACACATGAGCGGCACACCATGTGCTGCAATGACCGAGAAAGGGGGGGGGGGGGGTGGTATAAAGGATGGAAAAGGGCAGACTAAGGGGGGTGGTATATCAGAAGACTGAGGGCCCTTCCCCCTCAGGCCGTGGTGCCACATGTCGCATCAAAGTGGGGAGCGGGTGGGGGGCGGGATGAACCAAGTGGGCAGAGGTGGTGAGGGAGAAGTGCATGCAGAGGAGCGCCATAGAGGGAATTCTTGGAGCATCGGGAGCGGAGAGGTGAAGGAAGTAGATGGCATTAACAAGCTAAACTTTGGCATCTGCTTTCCGCATCCCTCTGCTCCCGATGGGTAATGAGCCCATTTTGGAAAAAAAAAAAAAAAAAGACGGAAGGCGCGGAAACATCCATCCATGTATGTGAGAATCTGCATCACGATTTTCTACGAGGAAAATGGAGGAGGGGAGCCGGGCGGACCTGAATGAAGGCGAAGGGCACGAAGGGCAGCTTGACGAGCAATGATAGTTCATGATGAGGCAAGAGGTGGAGGGGAGGGGCGGGGCGGACCTGAATGAAGGCGAATGGCACGAAGGGCAGCCTGGCGACTGGCTTGCAGTCAAAGAGTGAGTTGAGCAGCCCGAAGACGATGAGCAGCGTCACTGCCACCACTGCACCGGACTGGGCGAGCAGGCGAGCATGGGCCAGTGGGTGGGGGGTTGGATGCATATGGGAGGGAGGGGAGGGAGAGTTGAGCAGCCCGAAGACGATCAGCAGTGTTGCTGCCACCACCGCTCCTGACTGAGTGGGCGCGAGGAGGTGGGTGGGAGGGTGGATCGAGATAAGAGGACGGATGCATATGGGAGGGAGGGGAGGGAGAGTTGAGCAGCCCAAAGACGATCAGCAGCATCGCTGGCACCGCTGCACTGGACTGGATGGGCGTGGGTGGGCGTGGGGAGGTGGGGGCGAGTGTGGATCTAGATGGGAGGGAGGGGAGGGAAAGTTGAGCAGCCCAAAGACGATCAGCAGCGTCGCTGCCACTGCTGCACCGGACTGCGTGGGACTTTTGAGTCGACTCAAAAGCCACCGCTGCACCGGACTGCGCGGGCGTTGGGGGGGTGGGAGGGAGAGTGGAGGGAGAGTTGCGAAGATGGGAGGGTGGATGCAGATGGGAGGGTGGATGCAGATGGGAGGGTGGATGCAGATGGGAGGGTGGATGCAGATGGGAGGGTGGATGCAGATGGGAGGGTGGATGCAGATGGGAGGGTGGATGCAGATGGAAGGGTGGGGAAGGAGTGTTGGGAAGAGCAAGGGCGACGAGCGTGTAACTGCCCACACTGCTGTGACCGAGTGAGTTGACTTTTGAGTGAGTGAGTTGACTTTTGAGTGAGTGAGTTGACTTTTGAGTGAGTGAGTTGACTTTTGAGTGAGTGATTTGACTTTTGAGTGACTGAGTTGACTTTTGAGTGAGTGAGTTGACTCAAAAGTCAACACAGAGCAAGGGCGACGAGAGTGTACCTGCCCGCACTGCCGCGACCGAGCGAGGAGCAGGAGTGAGAAGACGGCAGGGGAGGAAGTGGGAAGTGAGGGATGGATGGAGATGGATTCATGAGAACGAGGCGGGTGTGACAGAGAGTGAGTGTGGGTGAAGGAGACAAGGGGGGACGAGGTGGCGATGGAAAGCGGGAAAGGAAGAAAGAACAAGGCAGACCTGGGAATGGGGCAAAGCAGGGGATTTGGTCGGCACTGGGGGACCAGCACGCACGCGGCAGCTGAGAGTAAGGAAGCCAGGAGAAACTAAGAGCCATTGGCTGAACATCGAACCTGAAACTAGGCTTGGCTGATCGGTACCTAGATCTGGCTCGGGCTGATCACCGTACCTGGAACTTGGCTCGGCTGAGCGCCTGGTTCGAGTCCTTAAGGCTCTGCTCGAACCGCCCGATCTTGCGCGACGCGCTCTTCCTCCCCGCCGCCGCCGCCGCCGCTCCCGCTTGGCGCTCCTTCATGGATTCCACGCGGCGGCTCGTCTTCTCTATGCTCTGCGTCAACGCGCGATAGCTGGCGGTGCGGTAGATTAACACCCACGAGATGAACTCGCAGAGAAGCGCCGCGAAGGCGGAAATCGCGACCACCACGAGCCCATCGCCGTACTGCATGATTGGTCGGCGAGTGAGGGATGCGAGCGAAATAGGGTAACCAGAGAGGTCGGAATTGATAGAAAGGGTGGCTACTAGTCGTACGAATGGGTGCAGAGCTGACCCCGTGAAACGATGGATCGAAGGCAGCGAGCGACAGAAACAGCAGTGGAGGGCTGGAGTTTGAGGCGCATGGTTGTGGATAGGAGATCAGGGTGTTGGAGAATCGAGTTTCTGCCGCCCCAGCCCTTTGCACACAAGCAGCAGCAAGGGGGAATGTCGGCGATGAATCAGAGCTTCGGGAAGTACTTCGAAAGTTCCACCACCAATCAGATTTCAGCCGAAGACTCGATATAGTTCAAAGCTGCCTTCAAACCGAAGTGTTGGCAGTTTCTACAGGTTTCTACACATCAGAATCAGCTACAACAGAAATATCCAGAGTTTTCTTATTCATGCACCTCATGTGGCACTCAAAGTCACTCAAGGTCCATCCAATCTAGATTGTGCCAAGTTACCAGGGAAGTTACATTGTCTATCAGCCTAGTTTGAGCTTTCAATCTGTCTTGTTTGTGATGCCTAGAGTTGTGCTTAGTGGGCTAGTTAATCTTGAACATAGTGAAGTTTTACCTCATCCAGTCAATTCCAGCAGCCCTGCTAAGACTTTCCAGCCAAGTTTCCAGCCCTCCAGTAGTCACAGCTACTCTGTTTTACAAGTTGGTATCAGAGCTTGTCGTTTCGATCAACCTAGCCCACCACGT